AGTCTGATTCCTTCAGCTCCATTTTTTTCCCCACAAGACTACTTTTGCTCTTTGGGGTCTTTTATGTCTCCATACAAATTTTAAGATTTTTTTGTTCTACTTCTGTAAAAAATGCCATTGGTAATTTGATAGGGACTGCATTGAATCTGTAGATTGCTTTGGGTAGTAGAGTCATTTTCACAATGTTGATTCTTCCAATCCAAGAATATGGTATATCTCTCCATCTATTTGTATCATCTTTAATTTCTTTTGTCAGTGTCTTATAATTTTCTGCATATAGGTCTTTTGTCTCCTTAGGTAGGTTTATTCCTAGATATTTTATTCTTTTTGTGGCAGTGGTAAATGGGAGTGTTTTCTTGATTTCACTTTCAGATTTTTTCATCATTAGTATATAGAAATGCCAGAGATTTCTGTGCATTAATTTTGTATCCTGCTACTTTACCAAATTCATTGATTAGCTCTAGTAGTTTTCTGATAACATCTTTAGGATTCTCTATGTATAGTATAATGTCATTTGCAAACAGTGACAGCTTTACTTCTTCTTTTCCGATTTGGATTCCTTTTATTTCCTTTTCTTCTCTGATTGCTGTGGCTAAAACTTCCAGAACTATGTTGAATAAGAGTGGTGAGAGTGAGCAACCTTGTCTTGTTCCTGATCTTAGTGGAAATGCTTTCAGTTTTTCACCATTGAGGACGATGTTGGCTGTGGGTTTGTCATATATGGCCTTTATTATGTCGAGGAAAGTTCCCTCTATGCCTACTTTCTGGAGGGTTTTTTATCATAAATGGGTGTTGAATTTTGTCAAAAACTTTCTCTGCATCTATTGAGATGACCATATGGGTTTTCTCCTTCAATTTTTTAATATGGTGTATCATGTTGATTGATTTGCGTATATTGAAGAATCCTTGCATTCCTGGAATAAACCCCGCTTGATCATGGTGTATGATCCTTTTAATGTGCAGTTGGATTCTGTTTTCTAGTATTTTGTTGAGTATTTTTGCATCTATGTTCATCAGTGATATTGGCCTGTAGTTTTCTTTCTTTGTGACATCCTTGTCTGGTTTCGGTATTAGGGTGATGGTGGTCTCGTAGAATGAGTTTGGGAGTGTTCCTCCCTCTGCTATATTTTGGAAGAGTTTGAGGAGGATAGGTGTTAGCTATTCTCTAAGTGTTTGATATAATTCACCTGCGAAGCCATCTGGTCCTGGGCTTTTGTTTGTTGGAAGATTTTTAATCACAGTTTCAATTTCAGTGCTTGTGATTGGTCTGTTCATATGTTCTATTTCTTCCTGATTCAGTCTTGGCAGGTTGTGCATTTCTAAGAATTTGTCCATTTCTTCCAGGTTGTCCATTTTATTGGCATAGAGTTGCTTGTAGTAATCTCTCATGATCTTTTGTATTTCTGCAGTGTCAGTTGGTACTTTTCCTTTTTCATTTCTAATTCTATTGATTTGAGTCCTCTCCCTCGTTTTCTTGATGAGTCTGGCTAATGGTTTATCAATTTTGTTTATCTTCTCAAAGAACCAGCTTTTAGTTTTATTGATCTTTGCTATCGTTTCCATCATTTTTTTTCATTTATTTCTGATCTGATCTTTATGATTTCTTTCCTTCTGCTAACTTTGGGGTTTTTTGTTCTTTTTCTCTAATTGCTTTAGGTGCAAGTTTAGGTTGTTTATTCGAGATGTTTCCTGTTTCTTAAGGTAGCATTGTATTGCTATAAACTTCCCTCTTAGAACTGCTTTTGCTGCATCCCATAGGTTTTGGGTTGTCGTGTCTCCATTGTCATTTGTTTCTAGGTATTTTTTGATTTCCTCTTTGATTTCTTCAGTGATCACTTTTGTTATTAAGTAGTGTATTGTTTAGCCCTCATGTGTTTGTATTTTTTACAGATCTTTTCCTGTAATTGGTATCTAGTCTCATAGCATTGTGGTTGGAAAAGATACTTGACACAATTTCAATTTTCTTAAATTTACCAAGGCTTGATTTGTGAACCAAGATATGATCTATCCTGGAGAATGTTCCATGAGCACTTGAGAAAAATGTGTTTTCTGTTGTTTTTGGATGGAATGTCCTATAAATATCAATTAAGTCCATCTTGTTTAATGTATCATTTAAAGCTTGTGTTTCCTTATTTATTTTCATTTTTGATGATCTGTCCATTGGTGAAAGTGGGGTGTTAAAGTCCCCTACTATGACTGTGTTACTGTCAATTTCCCCTTTTATGGCTGTTAGTATTTGCCTTATGTATTGAGGTGCTCCTATGTTGGGTGCATAAATATTTACAATTGTTATATCTTCTTCTTGGATCGATCGCTTGATCATTATGTAGTGTCCTTCTTTGTCTCTTCTAACAGTCTTTATTTTAAAGTCTATTTTATCTGATATGAGATTTGCTACTCCAGCTTTCTTCTGGTTTCCATTTGCATGGAGTATCTTTTTCCATCCCGTCACTTTCAGTCTGTATGTGTCTCTAGGTCTGAAGTGGGTCTCTTGTAGACAGCATATATATGGGTCTTGTTTTTGTAACCATTCAGCCAGTCTGTGCCTTTTGCTGGGAGCATTTAATCCATTTACATTTAAGGTAATTATCGATATGTATGTTCCTGTTCCCATTTCCGTAATTGTTTTGGGTTTGTTATTGTAGGTCTTTTCCTTCTCTTGTGTTTCTTGCCTAGAGACGATCCTTTAGCATTTGTTGTAAAGCTGGTTTGGTGATGCTGAACTCTCTCAGCTTTTGCTTGTCTGTAAAGGTTTTAATTTCTCCATCAAATCTGAATGAGATCCTTGCTGGGTAGAGTAATCTTGGTTGTAGGTTTTTCTCCTTCATCACTTTAAATATGTCCTGCCAGTCCCTTCTGGCTTGCAGAGTTTCTGCTGAAAGATCAGCTGTTAACCTTATGGGGATTCCCTTATGTGTTATTTGTTGTTTTTCCCTTGCTGCTTTTAATATGTTTTCTTTGTATTTAATTTTTGACAGTTTGATTAATATGTGTCTTGGCGTGTTTCTCCTTGGATTTATCCTGTATGGGACTCACTGTGCTTCCTGGACTTGATTAACTATTTCCTTTCCCATATTAGGGAAGTTTTCAACTATAATCTCTTCAAATATTTTCTCAGTCCCTTTCTTTTCCTCTTCTTCTGGAACCCCTATAATTCGAATGTTGGTGCATTTAATGTTGTCCCAGAGGTCTCTGAGACTGTCCTCAGTTCTTTTCATTCTTTTTTCTTTATTCTGCTCTGCAGTAGTTATTTCCACTATTTTATCTTCCAGGTCACTTATCCGTTCTTCTGCCTCAGTTATTCTGCTGTTGATCCCATCTAGAGTATTTTTAATTTCATTTATTGTGTTGTTCATCATTGTTTGTTTCATCTTTAGTTCTTCTAGGTCCTTGTTAAATGTTTCTTGCATTTTGTCTATTCTATTTCCAAGATTTTGGATCATCTTTACTATCATTATTCTGAATTCTTTTTCAGGTAAACTGCCTATTTCCTCTTCATTTGTTAGGTGTGGTGGGTTTTTATCTTGCTCCTTCATCTGCTGTGTGCTTTTCTTTCTTCTCATTTTGCTTATCTTACCGTGTTTGGGGTCTCCTTTTTGCAGGCTGCAGGTTCGTAGTTCCCGTTGTCTTTGGTGTCTGTGCCCAGTGGCTAAAGTTGGTTCAGTGGGTTGTGTAGGCTTCCTGGTGGAGGGGACTAGTGCCTGTGTTCCAGTGGATGAGGCTGGATCTTGTCTTTCTGGTGGGCAGGTCCACGTCTGGTGGTGTGTTTTGGGGTGTCTGTGGACTTATTATGATTTTAGGCAGCCACTCTGCTAATGTGTGGGGTTGTGTTCCTGTCTTGCTAGTTGTTTGGCATAGGGTGTCCAGCACTGTAGCTTGCTGGTCGTTGAGTGAAGCTGGGTGTTGGTGTTGAGATGGAGATCTCTGGGAGATTTTCGCCATTTGGTGTTGAGATGGAGATCTCTGGGAGATTTTCGCCATTTGATATTATGTGGAGCTGGGAGGTCTCCAGTGTCCTGAAGTTGGCTCTCCCACCTCAGAGGCACAGCACTGACTCCTGGCTGTAGCACCAAGAGCCTTTCATCTGCACGGCTCAGAATAAAAGGGAGAAGAAGTAGAAAGAAAGAAAGAAAGACGGACGGATAGAACCCTAGGACAAATGGTGGAAGCAAAGCTATACAGACAAAATCTCACACAGAAGCATATACATACACACTCACAAAAAGAGGAAAAGGGGAAAAAATAATAAATCTTGCTCTCAAAGTACACCTCCTCAATTTGGGATGATTCATTGTCTATTCAGGTATTCCACAGATGCAGGGTACATCAAGTTGATTGTGGAGATTTAATCCGCTGCTCCTGGGGCTGCTGGGAGAGATTTCCCTTTCTCTTCTTTGTTCTCACAGCTCCCAGGGGCTCAGCTTTGGATTTGGCCCCGCCTCTGCGTGTAGGTCACCGGAGGGCGTCTGTTCTTCGCTCAAACAGGACGGGGTTAAAGGAGCCGCTGATTCGGGGGCTCTGACTCACTCAGACCGGGGGGGGTAGGGAGGGGTACAGAGTGAGTGTGGGGCGAGCCTGCGGCGGCAGAGGCTGGCCTGACGTTGCAGCAGCCTGAGGCGCGCCGTCCGTTCTCCCGGAGGAGTTGACCCTGGATCCCGGGACCCTGGCAGTGGCGGGCTACACAGGCTCCCCGGAAGGGAGGTGCGGATAGTGACCTGTGCTCGCACACAGGCTTCTTGGGGGCGGCAGCAGCAGCCTTGGTGTCTCTGGGGTCTGCGCTGTTAGCTGCGGCTCGCGCCCGTCTCTGGAGCTCCTTTAAGCAGCGCTCTTTATCCCCTCTCCTCGCGCACCAGGCGACAAAGAGGTAAGAAAAAGTCTCTTGCCTCTTCGGCAGGTCCAGACTTTTCCCCGGACTCCCTCCCGGCATTAACCCCCTGCAGGCTGTGTTCACTCTGCCAACCCCAGTCCTCTCCCTGCGCTTGACCGAAGCCCGAGCCTCAGCTCCCAGCCCCGCCCGCCCCGGTGGGTGAGCAGACAAGCCTTTTGGGCTGGTAAGTGCTGGTCAGCACCGATCCTCTGTACGGGAATCTCTCCGCTTTGCCTTCCGCATCCCTGTTGCTGTGCTCTCCTCTGCGGCTCCGAAGCTTTCCCCCTCCACCACCCGCAGTCTCCGCCCGCGAAGGGGCTTCCTAGTGTGTGGAAACTTTTCCTCCTTCACAGCTCCCTCCCACTGGTGCAGGTGCCGTCCCTATTCTTTTGTCTCTGTTTATTCTTTTTTCTTTTGCCCTACCCAAGTACGTGGGGACTTTCTTGCCTTTTGGGAGGTCTGAGGTCTTATGCCAGCGTTCAGTAGGTGTTCTGTAGGAGTTGTTCCACGTGTAGATGTATTTCTGGTGTGGGAGGAACGTGATCTCCGCGTCTTAATCTTCCGCCATCCTCCCAATCCTACATTGGTTCTTATACTAATTCAAGCCTCTAGAAACTTGTTTTCCTCACTGCTCATAATTTTTGTGAATCAAGAGAAATTCCAAATTTTGTTTAATTATTATGTGATTGCTTCTTTACAATGAGTAAGTATTAAATAATTGATTTTAGAAGGATTATCACCACAATTTTGATCAGAATAAGAATGATGATGTTTGATCCTACGTATTATTAAGATGAAGACATAGATAAAGGCATAAATTAGTGAATAGTAACTTAGATAGATAAGTACAATTTTGTATATGAACTGTTTTATGTGAAGATTTTTGTATATTGATAAGGGCCTGGGAAAATGTGATCACTGGACTCTGTTGCCAAATGGAAGAAGTTCTTGGTAGATGCTATCTTTTGAACATGATCAGACTCTTTATAGACATGTTTCCAAACTTAAACAATGACCAATGAAAGCTTGCTTTTCAAATGAGCTTTTAAACAAAATAGTTAAAGCAGAATTGACGAGAGAGCTGAAATAACCCTCTTCTCTCCCTGTGTCTTCCCTATTACTGTTTTGCATGGTGATTTTTGGATGCATGTATCCAGATTGAAAACGAGGAGGAAAAAGCAGCCGTGGAAACCTAATTCATGGGAACTTCTTGAATGTACTCTCAGATGCCAATAAAATCCACTGAGCAATTTGACAGTCTTTCTTATATGCTCCTGTTATGATGATTAATTTTGTAAAGATCAGTGTACCTTTTTGTTGTGAATTATGTTTAATGCTATTAGTTATACTGTGAGGTAAATATGCACTACTTATGCTGGAGTTAGAAGGACCAACATCCGAATAAGTTTGGAACTGTGACATGGATCATGGGTTGATGTAGTCTGTCTGTATGATTGCTGGTATAACTTAATTGACATTTTATCTTTTTCTTTCTGATTTTTTTTTGTTAAATACATACATATATACATACACACATACATGCATCCCAACATCTTGCATTTACTAAAATATCATGTTTGTATTTTTATATTTTACTCTGGTAATTTACACTGCCAATGTAGGGAGAAGATGTATACAAATTTACATTTACTATCTCTTTAAAAGTTACTTTGTTATTAAAGAAAATGTTTAGGTCTAGAGGTTCCAGGTTTTTTCCCTTCCCTCATAGTCTTTTTGTGGCTACTAATCGCTAGCCTATTCTTGATTTGCCTAACTTTGTTTTTTGCCTTATAATTCTGCTAAGATTCTGAAGCCATCAATGAAAGTTTAACTTTCGCCTTTTACTCATCTACCACCACCAAAAGGAAGTTGAAAGGAGAAAGTGTATCTTAGACTGAAAATACTAGTGCTGGAAAGCACACTTAAATTAGGAATTTGTTTTTACATTATTATGTAACTATCTCTACTAACTTTTTCATCTTGTCAGCATATAATTATATTGATTGGCCTTCAACGAAGAAAACAGAAACCACTGAGTTTATTAAGCAGACTTAGCACAGTGCATTAGATGCTTACAAAATCATTGGAAGAGCTAGAGAAGTAGGACTTGGGGGCTACTACTGGAGTTTCTGGGTTCCAGAATAGACCCCAGCAGCAAGATTTTAAGGTGGAAAAGCCTCGATGCTACTGCCACTGCCTCATACCCTCAACAACCGCGAAGCTAGTGCATAGTCACTGGAATATGGGTCAGGCTGCCAAAATTACTTCTCCCTTGCATCTCATCATCTCTCATTTCACATAGGCTTTCATAAATGGAGAAAAATAAGTCTGCACTGAAGCAAGTAAAATAATTATTGTGCAAAGAGATTACATGGCTTTTCCTTACTCTAAAGGAAAAGAAAGGAAATATGTGAATATATTATGAACTAGCTCTCAAGTAAGGCAGATTGAGACTGGCCTTTCTTTGTGCCTGTTTTACCTAAATCTCATTAGTAAGGCACACATACCCAAAAAGAAAGGGGAAAGAAACATTTACACAGAAACATTTACTCAGGATTTTCCCTGAACCAGATCACCACTCCTTTATCTGTGGCCTAGGGGGATAGCTATTTCTGGCTAATTAGATAAGGCAATCTGCTCACATCACAGGTTTTGCCACTTGGACTGACAGTTCATTTCCTAGTTCACCTGCAATAAAAATGTTTCACAATGAATTAAACTTTCAAACATTGATTCAGATTAATGTTCTAACCTGATTGCACTCTGAAAATGCCTGCTTTAAGAGGAAAAATGTTACCTTCTTCCTTTGAATGTATTAGTCAGCACTTCCAATTCACACAGCCATGCCTCCATCTTCTCTATAAATCACCTGCCAACAACAACAAAGCAACAATGGTAATGTAAGCATTAATAAAAATGCCTACTTTTCACCTTTTTCTTAATTTCCAGTGACTATGCAGATTCTCTTAGCCTAAGCTGCTGTTTAAACACATTTTCTCAATAACTTACAAATCAACCAGTCCTCCAACAACTGTTGTAGAAAAAGATTTGCAAAGATTCATTTAAGGAACACCAACACCCCAAAATTAAATAGTGTGTGCTCTTTCCGGGAATTCATGTAACATTTACAAAAACATGATTAACATATAGGCCTTAGGGCTTCCCTGGTGGCGCAGTGGTTGAGAGTCCGCCTGCCGATGCAGGGGACACGGGTTCGTGCCCCGGTCCAGGAAGATCCCACATGCTGTGGAGTGGCTAGGCCCGTGAGCCATGGCTGCTGAGCCTGCCATGCACAGGCTCTGCAACGGGAGAGGCCACAACAGTGAGAGGCCCACGTACTGCAAATAACTTATGATAACCTATAATGGAATACAATCAGAAAATAATAATAATAAAATAACAGAATCTCTATGCTGTATACCTGCAACTAATATATATTGGGACTCAACTATGCTTCATTAAAAAAAAAAAACACTTTGAATTTCAATAGTTAGTATTTAAAAAAAAAAAAAAAAAAACACATATAGGCCTTAGAGTGTCAATAAATACCAGAAACTCTATTATTATACAATGCATTATCTAATTACAATGCAATAAAAATATGAAATGATAAATAGTCCTCCCTTACCCAACCCTCTTCCCCTTCCAAAAAAAAAGAACCCTGTGTCTTTGGAAATAAGAAAAAGAGCTTTGTAAATAAGTCATGAGTTAAAAAAAACATAATGACAATGACAAAAACATTTAGAACTGAGTAATACAAATAAAGTACATACCAAACTTCCAAAGAACATTTTTTAGTCATAAATACCATGTTAAAATAAAGAAAAAATTGTAAGCTTAGTGTTCTACAAAAGAAATTAGGGAAAAACAACTGAAGAAGAATAAAAGGATAAAAATTATAAAGAAGTAAAGGATAAAAATTAAAAGGGCAGAAACTAAAGAAATTTTCTCTGGCTTTCTCTGTGAATCTAGCTTAAAACCAATGAGGATACTAGAAGAAGGAGGGTTTTTGGACAATTTTGTTCTTGAACATAGCATATGTAACAGTTTGGATTTGGTAAGGGTAGCTGAACTACTAGGAGTGACGTGGAATGAGGGATTAATTATAAAGATTAGACTTTACACAATAATGAGAATTAGTGAAGAATACTATGGAAGGTAGGTTGTTGCTTTCAAAGCTGGTGCTGAATCTGAAGTTGCTGCATGTCAGCAAGACTGATGGCTGAGAAGATGTGGAATCTATAGTATGTTGACGGCATAAAACTGACAGCATAAAATAGGATCTTCTATTTTTCTACTCTGATCATCTCTTCACTTTGTTTGGAGTGTTCAATTAACTTGCATTTACTGCAACGATTGATATGGTACCTTGACAAGTTTGTGATTTGATTTCTATATGTCCCATGTCTGTCTTATCATGCTACTCCCTTAATGATGCAGTGCTTTCTTGCCAATAGCTTTTTACTTTTCTTAGGAGAAATTCCAAAACTATGTAATATTTCTTGTCTAGATAAATCCCATATACTCCAGGTTTAAGCCATATTACATTTCATTTAGTTCAATTCACACCTTCACCAAATTTTACCTCTTTAAGACACTGGTGCGCTTTTTTTTTCTGATTAAAAATGTCTCTATCTATCAGCTAACCTGGCTCACTCTGGCTCATCCTTTATGTATCAGCTGAAACCTTGCATACATTTTTTATATAAGATTAAAACCTTCCATAATGTATTCATACCACTCTCTACTTCCTCTGTGGTAAAAGAGGTACAATTTTACTTTAGTTACTTGTTAAGGTATCTGCTTTCTGCCTTAGAACATATGTATATCCTGTGAAGTCAGGAACTATAGTATCATGTATTTCTAACTTCTAGTTTAGGAACTGGAAAATAATTAGTATTCAATGACCATCTGACAAAGGAATGTAGTAATATATTGTCATGAAATGATTTCAAATCAACGGGGACTTCGACTCAAGAAGCTTGTGATAGGACAACAAAATAAGCTGTACAATACAAAGAAGGTATAAATACAGTTAAAAGCAGAAGTCATTTTTGAACTTTTTAGTAATTGAACACTGAAGAAATGTACAAAAGATAAGAAAATGTCCACATGCTCCCCTCCACGCATTTACTACCCAGCTTCAACTCTTATCAATATATGTCTAACTGTGTTTTTTCCCCCTATGCTTCTAAGTAAAATGGCTAAGTACAAGGGTCAATGGTGTGTATAATTTTACAGACACTGCTAACTGCACTTCTATAATAGTTGTTGCATTTTGCATTCTCAGTTGCAGTATATGAGAGTGCCTCTAGTCTGGTCAAGAGAGTATGTTGTGAAATTTTGAATTCTTACCAATAAAATATATGAGAGATGATATTTCAGTGTAGTTCTACTTTTAAAACAGAAGTTCTTCAAATAAGAACAAGTAATTTAGTGCAGTTATCAGTGAAACCAAAATATAGTTCTTGGAGAGGCAAAAAAAAAAAAAAAAAGACAGGGAGCTTCCCTGGTGGTGCAGTGGTTGAGAATCTGCCTGCCAATGCAGGGGACACAGGTTCGAGCCCTGGTCTGGGAAGATCCCACATGCCGCGGAGCAACTAGGCCCGTGAGCCACAACTACTGAGACTGTGCGTCTGGAGCCTGTGCTCCGCAACAAGAGAGGCCACGATAGTGAGAGGCCCGCGCACCGCCATGAAGAGTGGCCCCCGCTTGCCGCAACTAGAGAAAGCGCTCGCACAGAAACGAAGACCCAACACAGGCAAAAATAAATAAATTAATTAATTAATTAAAAAAAATTCTTACTGTGTTTATCTATTCCCTAATTCAGTTAGCATTCTTATTACTAATGTTTTGAGTTCTTTATTTAGCAAATTATTTACTTGTTTCATTAGTTGTTTTTTTTTTTTTTTTTTTTTTTTTTTTTTTTTTTTT